TGTGTGTGTGTGTGTGTGTGTGTGTGTGTGTGTGTGTGTGTGTGTGTGTGTGTGTGTGTGTGTGTCTCTCAGCAGGCTGTGCAGCCACATGTCTCCTATTGATGTTGTATTTTGCGTGTAGTCCTGAAGCAGAGCTGATGTAAATAAATATAGTTTGTTATTTAATTTGTATTTGCATGTCTGTTAAAGTGACAACATCAAAGTGAGGTTAACAGTGTAAAACCTGCAGAAAATAATGAATATTATGTTAAACTTATCGGTGTGCAAATGTGTTTATGGTCTGGTGTCCTAAGTTATGTTGTGTAATTCTGGCGTTAGAAATGCGTAATTCATTAGTCATTCACAGGTTAACTCGGTGTGAGCGGTGCAGTGAAATGTGTTGCACGAGAGCAATAACATGTATATAGCACTATATGAAATGAAAATGCAGTAAAAGGATAATTAGTCACACAATCAACAAAAGCGAGGTACAGATCAAATGAATAAAAAAGTAATAGACTTGCCTATTTACGAAAAAGTTAGATGCGTTATTAAGAATATAGACAAAATACAAATAGTAACAAGTAGCATTATTTTAAAATGAAGTGAACATATGAAAGTATTGAAGGAACAAATAACAAATAAATATATATATATACATATAAATGAAATATGAAGACTAAAAATGAATTGCACAAACGTACATATGGCACAATATTAGTGGTATTGCACATGTGTGTCCCTGTGCAGCTTTTTATATTGAAGCAGATATAGTTTACTGTGTGTTACTTCAGCTTTACCTTTTTTTTGGTGAAATTCTTAAATTGCCAAAAACATTTGGCGTTTATTCCTCCTAGTCATTCATAACTCAGTGTTTGCAAGTAAACATATGCAAGGACAGGCAGGTCATTTAAAGGTCACCTATTGTACAAAATCCACCTTGTCATGTCTCTTCTACATCACCATGTGTCCCCTCTGTGTAGAGAGACTCTGAAAGTCTCAGGAAAAAAGAGTCTCTCTTTTTGTCCTGATCCATTTATATAAAAACCTGTCTGAAAATGAGCTGATCAGATTTTGGCCACTTTATGATGTCATAACGATTTTTTGGCTTGTGTAACCAATAGCCAATCACCAACCAAGGTAACCCATCCCACCTTATCACCTGAATCTCCTCCTAGAGCACCATTGAGTTCTTTGTAACAAAATGTCTCTCAGAGGGGCGTGGGGAGGGGCTCCTTATTTTCATCTAAAGTAACAGACAGAGAATCAGCACTTTGGAAACAGGGCTGAAACAGAGGGGATTATGGGTAATGCTGCAATGATCTGTGTGGTGTTTCAGCCAATCAGAGACAGGTTCGGTATATATCTGAGACCTGTAATATATTGATGAAAAAGAGTATAAAAGGGGACCTTTAAAGACAAATTGAAGTTCCTTTCCTATCATGAACATTTCCCCTCGACCCCAGTCTGATGCTTTTCTACCGTTTGTTATTCTGCTTTGTGCTTTGCTTTAAAGAAATGTGACCCCGTACCTATCTGCCTGCACACTTATGTATCCCTATTTGATCAATACATCTCGACCTCTTCCTGCTATAAACTCAAAGCTTTTTTTGTCATTAGATAATAGCTACAGCATAGATAGATAGCAATGAACATTTTTCAAAGGTTTAGCCTTTTACATCAGAGGCCTTTCTGAGTAGCCTCATTTTTTCTGAAAAGGACAATATATCACATTCCTGGATAAGAACTAGTTACTTCGCAAAAGCCTTTAAATAAAAAGTGAAAACAGCCTTTGGTGTGTACGGTAACATCTACAGGAGACAGTCGTATTCCCCCCCTCCTTAAAAACAGGTCCCTCTGCTTCGAGGCCTCTGTTGTAAGTGAAAAAAAACATTTAGCCTCCAAATATTTCTCCCCTCTCTGAGCCGGCTGCCCCCCCCCTCCTCCTCTTCATCACTCTGTATCTTCAGTATTTTCAGGAGTTTCAGCCGTAGACAGGGAGTTTAGTTTGGAGAGGAGAAACACTTAAAGGGAAGATGGGTTCTGCTCCATCTCTGCCTCCATCATCCGGCACAGAACCAGCGAGGATTAGATCCACCGCCGATGATTTCATCTCGCTCAACTCGTCTTTTCTGCTTCTATTTCTTTTCCCAGCGAGCGGCCGATCATAGCCCTGATCAGTTTCAAACTCTGACAGAATAATGGCTGCCCTCAGCGTCACTTTAAATCACAGGCCACATTTCCTGCGGGTGATGAAACTGTCGCTCACGCTGCACTGAAGCTTTGGAGGGAAACCTGTAGAGATGGCAAAAGTACACACATCCTTTACTCAAGTAGAAGTACAGATACTCGTGTTTAAAAATACTCTGGTGAAAGTAGAAGTACTGACTAAACTTCTTTACTTAAAAGTAAAGAAGTATTGGCTTTGAAATGTACTTAAAGGTCCCATGTCATGGCCATTTCTACTGATCATAATCCCATTGTTGAGGTCTACTAGAATAGATTTATATTGTGCATTTTCCGAACTCACATTGGTTTCTCATCCAGCATCTCCGTATAGTATGTGTATTCACTCTCTGTCCTCAACGGTTTGTTGGAGCTCCTGCCCCCCCCTCCCCCCTCCCTGTGAGCCCACTGTGCTCTGATTGGTCAGCTCGCCCACTCTGTTCTGATGAGTCCACCACCGTTACAGCGGAACATTAGTAATTATGTGTTACCATGGCGTTAGTTACTGTAGCAACCAGGAAATGACACCAGTAATGACAAACAGATGAGAATGCTGCGTGGGGTCTGGGTGCCGTGTTGGCGGGGCGTTGCGGGGCTCGCTGCTGCGAGGAGCGGACAGTGTGAGCTGGCGAATGGACGCGGGAAGGAGGGGGTGCTGAGGGGGCTGCAGCACCCCCATCTGCGAGGCTCCACTAGCACACGCAGCCCCCCCCCTGTACCCCCAAACGCAGCGCACCTAATAGTGTGAGCACGTCACAGTTTCGCCGCTGCGAGACTCCACTAGCTGATGGATTTACCTTTCACTCAGCATCACTCAATGTACACTTCATATTTTTAAAGTCATAAATTGCGATAAGCTGGGAACTAAAGGATAACGCTGAGTTTTGCACTTGGATTTGTTGTTTTCTCTGCAGGTAGGTGAGTTCACATGAGATACTTCCTCATCATGTTGTTGGAGGAGGTGTGGATTTAACACAACTATATTTAGTTATTTGATGAAATGTCAAGAAACCAAGCAGCTCATATACCAACAGAAACATTATAGTGTAACACGAATAATTATAATCTAATCATACAACAAATATTCTGAAACAGGCAAGAATGTGTACTTTTGATGCCTAATGTATATTTACATTAGGCATCAAACATTATATTCTTTTAATTGTGTATTACTACCTTAACTTAAGCTAAACATCCAAGTGTCCACCTCTGGACCCGGGTAACAAGATCACAGTATTGTAGTAATGACAGTATGTTGTCAGTACTGTGAAAGCTCTGGACGCCCAGCATGTTGACAGAGATCTCTGGAGGTGACCAGGTTCCTGAACCATGGGAACTCGTTAGACGTGTTGCCTGTGTGTGTGTGTGTGTGTGTGTGTGTGTGTGTGTGTGTGTGTGTGTGTGTGTGTGTGTGTGTGTGTGTGTGTGTGTGTGTGTGTGTGTGTGTGTGTGTGTGTGTGTGTGTGTGTGTGTATGTGAGAGAGAACTTGGTTAACATCAGTATTCTTCTGGTGTGCTGTCTTTACACAACCCATGTGTGTGTGTGTCCTGTACCAGGAAGCAGCCTCTCTGCTCTTTGTCCGTCTCACTCTGTTCAGCAGGTTGTCTGCTCGCTAATCAGGTAGAAAAGCTTCCTGCCGGGAAAATAAGAGCGGACTCTGCCCCGGGAAAACAATCCAGCCATCATACGGCCATTACAGCGGTGGCCACCGTCCTAATTTGTCTCTCAGTGTGTTTTTTCCTCAAATTGAAGGAGCATTTCCGAGCAGAGTGAGGTCCGGCTCTTAATACTCTCTCGTGCCTCGCACACAACAAACAAATGAGGACAGCAAATCTTTTCTGCCAAGTAGATTTACCTCGCTCCCTGACCACTCATAAGATTAGAGGCAGAAAGCAGCCATATTGGATCTGTTTTGTCAGCCCTGACCACGCTGTCCTGCTGCCGTTCCCTCACAATAAATCCTGGAGGTTTTTTCTCCTTTCTTTACACAGCTTTAATCCCCCGCCTCACCTCCGCCTCCTCGCTCCTCCGCTGCAAAAGGGAAAAGTAATAAACTGCGAAAAAGCTGGGAAGTAAAGGATAACGCTGAGCTTTGCACTTGGATTTGATAATTTTTTTATTCTGCAAGTGTGTGAGTCGATATGACAGTCTTCCTCTTATTGTTGTTGGAGGAGGTGTGGATTTAAGGTGTGCTAAAAAAGTCTCTGGAGGAATCTGAACCAGGATACCACGGATCACACCATGAGTTAAAAATCTTCACGAAGAATGGATTGTGGCCAATAACTCCATGCATTGCACCTCACTAGCACCAACTGTTCCCACCGATTAAAGTCAGTTTAAGAGAACATAACAGTGCAATTTGTTTTTGTTTGTGACTGATTGCTATTACCCATGAGCCTCTACTGTAACATCTCTCCATGCTTTAATGTTCTAAAAGCTCTTTATTGTTCTCATACTGCCTGTGC